ACAACCTTAAAGTCACTCTTGTTACTCTCGACATTGCGAGAGCATACGATTGCGTGAAAATCGACACGCTACATACAATCCTCTGTCAACTAAACATGCCCCTCCATTGGTCTTGCTGGATATATGAATTCCTACGCCACCGCATACTGACTCTTGGTAATAGCAATATCGATATGTATAACGGTCTTCCTCAGGGTAGCTGTCTAAGCCCGCTCCTATTTAACATCTACACTAAAAAATTACACAAAATAGCTGATGAGAACACGCACATTTTCCAATTTGCAGACGACTTTGTAATCGTATCCACACACCGAGATTTTGACCTCTCTGTTCGACAACTCCAAACCAAATTAAACCTTTTTTATGGTATCTCCAAATCTCTAAATCTCAACATAAACTATCAAAAAACAGCTGCTCTATATATGGCAAAAGGAGCAAGGAGGAATGTGTCAGTGAACATCAATGACAATCCAATCGTAAACGTGAATTGTTTTAAATTTTTAGGAAGATACATCAAAAACAGCCTTTCACTCAAGGAACATTACGACTCTGTTGTTGGAAAATCTAAATTAGCATGCAATGCCATAAAAGTGGTTACATCTTTCAAAGGTGGGCTTATGCCAAATATTGCGATAAACCTTTCTAAATCCTTGGTTTTCTCGAAAACAGAATATGCTAGATCTTCCACGGCTCACGCGCCCAAATATATAAACAAAAAAATAATGACATTTCAAAACAACTTACTTCGAAGAAGCCTAAAACTTAATTCCTCCACGCCTACTCACATAATTTATGCCCTATCACTCACTCTCCCACCTCATCAAAGAGCTCTCTATCTTGCATCCAAGGAATTGCTGAAAATGAAAATGTTTAATCCTGAGTCGTATCGCCAAATTGTTCAAACTCCGACGAGGAAATCGGGCCTGGGTTACACCTTTCTCACCTTCCGCAACATTTTTGAAAACACCTGCACGGATTTTACTACCACGACATCTAAAAAAGTCTCCATATTCCTGGACAGCTTTTCATCATCAAAAAACAACACCTCCACTGTGGAAATGAACATGATCTTTCGGGAAAAAATACACCACCTTAAGTGCGAAGGATATGCTATTTTTGCCACAGACGCGTCTGTCATGGCGGATAGTACTGGTTGTGCAGTATGCAACATTTCATGCAATCATAACTTCATGTTTAAAATTCCAAACAAAGTCTCCTCCTTGACTGGTGAACTATATGCTATCGACAAGGCGATAGACATCATCATAGAAGATGGCTACTCACACTCGGCAATCTTCACTGACAGCAAAAACGCGTGCCTACTTCTTCGGCAAAACACCTCCTTCAACTTCCTTGTCTCAAGGATCTTAAAGAAGATTGAAACCGCCAATCTAACTTCTATTTTCTTTATCTGGACCCCAGCACATGTTGGTATACCTCCCAACGAACTGGCCGATTATTTTGCTAAGCATGCTGCCTCTGTTGGCTCCATCATAAACCCTCAGCTCTCCTTAAAGGATGCGTATGCTGAAATCTATAAAATCCTATGGGATCAATGGGACACGGAATACAAAGCGCATCAGTCGGGACGGTATTTTCATGAACTTTTTCCTGAATTGCCGAAATGTCACTGGTTTATAAACAGCAAATTTTCGCCCTCTCAAATTAAAACCATCAACAGACTGCTAACAGGTCATACTTTCAACAAACCATACCTCAAAATGATTGGATCAATATCAACAGATCTATGTGAAATTTGCAATACAATTGACGATGATAACCATGCAATTTTTCATTGCACAAAATTTGACTCCCAAAGGCAACACTTCCCTTTTTTCGGGAATTACAACAGTCTTATGGACCTGCTAAAGTCAAAACAACTCTTGGTCTACAAGGACCTTTTGAATTTCATCAATTTATGCAAAATCGAGCTACAAAGTCTCCCACGATCTAGCTCTACCACCTACCAATACAGCTATGTATAAACTAAGGCAGCTATATATAAGCAAATCTAAAAACACTACTACACTCAAATACTAGTATGTATTATGTCTTTTTTGACACAAACAGTACTGGCATATAAGCGTTACCACATGCTTAGCCAAAATAAACAAAAACCCAAAAAAAAAAAACATGAATATTTTTGTATGTTACAAACATCAGCACAAACCCAATATACCCTCCCCACTAAAGTGGTGTAGGGTATAATGAGAAAATTGTTTTGATATTAACAAAAGCATCGATTCATAAATATCAAAGTTTATTTATAAGGAGCATCTATAGCGACGAAATTCGACATGAACATATTTTATAGGAACCTTAATATCTTTGTTAAAACTTTGTAAGGATCGGTCAAAATTGACCCTACCCCCCATATAAGGTCCCTATTAAAAAAATGATTTAAACGCTCATTGCTGGCTTAAAAATACGAGTATAGCGATGAAATTTGACATAAGTGAGTTACTTTCAAGCGATGAAATTTGACATCAGCAAATAAAGGTCCCTTCAAAAACTACTTTAACACTCATTACTGGATTCAAAATACAAGTATAGCGATGAAATTTGACATAAGTAAGTGTTTTACTATCAAAATCTCTCTACCATATTTTATGTGGATCGGTCCATAATTGACCCTACCCCCATATAAGATCCCCAGCAGAAAATGACTTTAACGCTCTTTACTGGCTTAAAAATACGAGTATAGCAATGAAATTTTACATAAGTAAGTTACTTTCAAGCCAAAACCTCTCTACCAAATTTTATGTGGATCGGTCAATAATTGACATTAGCCCCCATAGGTCCCTTCAGAAAATTCCTTTTTTTCATGATAAGGAGCGCACAACAGGCCCGATAGTGTCCTAGGTGTATTTCTTCGGATTTGATGTAGTATACATCCTCCTATCAACCTACCTACCATATACATATGTGCGAAATTTCGTGGTGATACCGATAATTTGTCCGAAGTTATTAACAATAAATCTATTTCAGAGAATATATACCTTTGTATGGGGTCTATGGGAAATTTAGAATCGATTATTTTGAGTTTGAACATATTTGATCCCTGGGCAAAGAAAATAACGTGTAACAAAATTCATTCAATTACCTTTAGTAGAATGAATAAGTGTCATCTCTAATTTTTATCGGGTAATTATCATAATCAGTTGTTTGTTTACATTGGTTGGAGATAAATAAAAAAATTTATTTACAGAAAATGCAAATAAACAGAAAATATATAACTTAATTTGTTAAAGTAATGTAACGAACGTATTTTTGTATCATACACACACACAAATATTTCAAAAAATGTCAAAATAATGAATAAAAAAAAGTGGCGATGAAATGTCAAAACAAATTACGAATGTGTCATGGGAACGTATTAAGGGTCCTTCAGACGATCACACTTCACGTACGACAAGTCTAATGAAAAAGTAAAATGAATTTCCATCTGTATGACAAAAAATTTAATAAAAGTCGTATGATTTATTATTTTTGTCTTTACACTATTGGTATAAAACAATAACAAATTAAGATGAAGACAGCTGTTTCACTTTTTTGTATGTGTTTACATAAAAATACATCCTTGGTCTAATGCGACTTGCTTGTTTTTTAAATCATTTCAAAAAAATGAAGAGAGCTATACGACTGTCAAATTTTCCATCCGTATTTTCTATCAATGTGTGATGATTTCGTTACATATTGCGTTTAGACGATCCCATCCGTTCTCTTCTACACAAAATTTTGACAGATCATATTACTTGTGTGCCATTCAGAGGCCGAAGCCCGTGTCTATATTAGACAAATATTTATCACAGCACATGACAAAACGTCGGCAGAAAAATTGTAGTTTTTAGTTAATGTTAATGCATAGTATCAACAAAATGCTGATTTTATCACGACAACTCACAGATAATTTTACTGAAATAATGTTATAATAATAGAAACAGTAATTTCACTAAAACTTATGTTCAATTAATTGCACAAAAACAAAATTGTATACAAATTTTACAATACAATGACGTTTGTTATCAAGACAACGTTGTCTAAACAATTGTTTAGACAACACTGTCATAACGATTCTATAACGCTAATAAATGCTGTCTATACATGCTAATTTTTTATCATAACAATTTGACGTTAAGCATAATAAATATTTGTCCAATATTGGCAGGGGGAATTAAGTAATTCAACTGCACGTGTGAATTTGGTAATATTGAGTATGTAATTGGAGGTTGAATGATGAATGAGATCGTGAATGACGTATAATTGCATCATGTGAACGTAGTATTACGCATAACTTGTGCAATTCGCAGCTAAAATTTTGTAGAGCGAATTATGTAATTCAGTTCGTAATTAGGGTCTTACCCCATGTCTATATTAGACAAATATTTATTATGCTAAACGTCAAATTGTTATCATAATAAAAAATTAGCAGGTACAGACGGCATTTATTAGCGTTATAACGCCGTTATGACAGTGTTGTCTAAACAATTGTTTCGACAACGTTGTCTTGATAACAAACGTCATTTTATTGTAAAATTTGTTTAGAATTTTGTTTTTGTGCAATTAAAATTGATTTTTAACATTAGTTTTAGTGAAATTAGTGTTTATTTACAAAATTTGCATTTAATTTTAATTGTTTTTATAAAATATAGCATTATTTCAATAAAATTATCTGTGAGTTGTCGTGATAAAATCAGCATTTTGTTACCCCAATGCATCAACATAAACAAAAAACTGACAATTTTTCTGCCGACGTTTTGTCAAGTGCTGTGATAAATATTTGTCTAATATAGACACGGGGTTAAAGACGAATGATAGCTTATTGACGAATAATTGAACGGATAGAATACCACACATTACATCTTACACCACCTATTAACAATCAGCGATAACAATGAATAGTCGAACATGCTAAATAAATAATCGTGTAAATGCAGAGGTACAATTGTTTGGCGTTATTTGCTTTATTTTGAAAACTAACTGGCAACGCTGTTTACAAAGCAAATAAAGATAATGTTTTGTGGCTGGTTTTTATAAAAAATAAGTTTTAGTGGAGTTTAATTTTTCATATTTGTTTCTATAGAAGTATGTTAAACAACAATTTTTAATAATTTTTGGAAAATATATAACATATTTGAAAAAAAAAAAAACGTAATCACGTAATTTAATCTAAATAAATTCTCTTTTAATGTGTATGTCAACAAAAATATAGTGGCTGTTTTTTTATTCGTAGAGTCATACATAATGTGTATATCATATTTATTGAAATGCTTGAATTTGGAAAGTGTTGTTGTGAATTAGTGTGTTTAAAGGATATTAAGAAACACCGTTTGGTTGAAAAATTAAGAGTCGAAATAAAATAAGAGCTTTTAAATTAAATGTCTGACGAAAACAAATTGAAATTTAATATATAAAGAAGATATCACAATACTAATGTTATAAGTAACAAATTTAAGTATAAAAAATAAATAGCGCATTTTATGTGTATGCCTTGTGCAAGCAATGACATGTTTTGAGATAGGAATTTCATAATAAAGAAAAAAAACAAACAAAAAATTCAGGTTCGTGTTATATATATTCGGAAATGCCCTTAACTAAATTAAAGATAATTATAAATATGTCAGAAAAAACTAAACAAGCTAATATTAATATACAACTTTCATAATAGTGCAAATAAAAAAAATATTTAAGAAATTTTTACATAAAAAAAGTTATATACTTTAATTTGAGTTATGATCTGTAGAAGCCGGCTGTTTAACATTTGAAACATACATACATACATAGGTATGTATATATGTATATAAGTATGTATATTCCTAATTGAATTATCTGCTTCAATATTTTTTAGAACTTTAAACCACTTAGAAGTTGTTATATTACAACTTTGGATTTGGGAATATGTGTAATAAAAAGACATTTTATGATAATTACAGAATTTAACCGAATCTTTTTAGTTTTGTAGCAATGCTGTTTAAGTGTAGAAAATGAAGTATGTTGAATTACTACAATATAGAAAACGTGAACATTAATGACAAAAATCAGAAGTGCATTTTTGACGATTAAACGCTGCATGGTAGTAAAATTTTCTATTTGTCAAGCACTGCAGTACACAGTTTGATATGATATGATATTATTAATAAGCTAATCTCACAAACCGCAATTGAACTTCTAATAGGAGCTCAATAGAACTTGTAATAATGTCCGCCAGATTTGTCGATATTTTTTGGCTTACAAATATTGGAATAAATATACATTTGGTAGGTATAACTAACGTGACCAGATGGTTTTTGAATAAAAGCAATGCGGGATTTTAAAAATTTCCATTCACTAAATCCTAATCATAAATACATATGTACTAGGGATGCCAATCCCGAAATCCCGATCCCGAAAATCCCGGGATTTTTCGGGATTGGTAAATCCCGAATCCCGGGATTTGGAAAATAAATCCCGGGATTTTTTCGGGATTAGGATTTGTTTCAAAAAACTGTTTTTATTTTCTTTTTTTGAGCCATAATTTTCATTAATTTGAAAATTACGATCTTATTTTATTTTTGACTCATGCAAAACAAAATTCTGCAGAGCTAATTTTATACATATTTGAACCTTTTATTTTTTAAAGTGGTATGAGTCCATACACATAGCACATATAAATTTATTTATTCACTTCGTTTTTATACCTTGCACCACTTTAGTGGGGAGGGTATATTGGGTTTGTGCTGATGTTTGTTACACACAATAATATTGGTCCTATACCTTAAAGTATACCAATCGGCTCAGAATCATTTTCTGAGTCAATTTAGCTATGTCCGTCCGTCCGTCCGTGTAAACCTTGTAATCAAACTACAGCAATTTTGAAGATAATTCAATGAAATTTTGCATGATCTCCTATTGAAAATGGATAACATCGGTCCAATATTTGACCTAGCCCCCATACAACTGAACCCCCCAAATAGGGTTTTTAAGTTCATAATTATGTTCAATATACTCGTAACTCGACAAAAAGCTGCAAAACCGAGTTCTATACTAGCCTTCATGACCCTGATGTATTTTTTGATGATGCGGCCTCATTTGACCCTAGCCCCTATGCAAAGCCCCCTTCGAAATATGACTTAAATGTACACAATTTTATTCAACAAAAAATAGCTAAATTATATCTGAGGCAAGGTACAATTCAACTTAGATGCTTTATTATGAACAATAAATCACATTTTATTTTTATAACTGGTGTAGGGTATTATATGGTAGGCTTCGCCCAACTATAACTTTTTACTTGTTAGCACATTGCAATGTTGGTCGTAGACCGACCCAAAAAGTATACACATTCTGTGTCTGTAAGCTGAAAACACGAGTTAGAAGACTCATTCTATTTGGGCTGCAAATTTGGACCAAAATTGACACAAAAAAACCTAATTGGACCTCCTCTGAAAATCACATTGATGCTGATATTAATATCAATACATTACAATATTTTGATGGTGGGTATTTAATTTCGGCACAGTCGAAAACAAACTTTATTTTTCAATACTAGAGGATTTTACATTTCTAACTTTCTACAAATCTGAATGATACCGGTAAAGGTAAATTACCTTGTTCTGAATGCACTTAAAATTTTAAATTAATGTTACGAATATAATAATATGTTCCAAAACTAATATGTATTTTGAGTAAAATTCCAAATATTTTTCAAAGAATAGGTTCTAAATTGATGTTCGAATAATTGAATTGGTATCTGTTATAATTATTAGTTCACATGGAACAGTATGAGGTTTTAAAAAGTGCTTATGTCTAATTTCGGAACTTGATATTTATTTTTATTTAGGAAGTAAGTATGTATTTAAAAAGTTTCAGAAATTATGCAATTCTGAAAGTTTTTATTTAAAAATTGGAATTAATTGGATTGTTTTAATTTAAATATATCTTCTGTCTGTTAAATTTCCACAAAATTAAACAATTTTCTTTACAAATATGATGATTTAAAGATTTTCATATATAAAATAATTAAATTCATGTAATCCCGAAATCCCGTAAAATCCCGAAATACCGAAAAATCCCGGGATCCCGAAAAATCCCGGGATCCCGGGATTGCAATTTTCAAAATCCCGAATCCCGGGATTTGTAAAAGCCAGTCCCGTTTGGCATCCCTAATATGTACATATGTATGGATATCGGGTGATTTTTCAAAGATCATCTTTTATGAAAGAAACTATTTTATATTTAGAGTTATTTGTATGAAAAATGGTTTTCGTGTCACAAAAATATTGAAAATTCCGTTGAATATTCTTAATTTAAATTGTTGAATAAATGTCGGAAAAAGTTAGAATGATATGGGTACTCAGCTCTATAAGTTTATAATTCTGAAATAAAAAGTCAATTAATTTTTTCTTATTTTTTTTTTACTTTTTAAAAAACGTTATAGGTATAAATACATATTCCTAAAAATTGGTTAAAACAAAAGGAACTAGTAAAAATTAACCCACTTTTTACAAGTTCCTTTTGTTTTAACCAATTTTTAGGAAGTCCTAAATTTTGTATTATTTTTGTTTTCAGTGTTCATTGTTATGTTCCCAAAAAGGTGCAAGCACCTCAAAATCAATACACATTTTCAATATTTTGCAAGCACTACTGAAGGATAATAATTAATTGAAACGGTTTTATTTCAAAATTTTGACGTATAGAAAAAGCCCTTTTTAAAAATATATGTTGTAGTCTCTGAGCCAACAAAAGATTTTAATATTTCAACTAGTGTTATTGAAATGTATTAACATAGTAAACCGCAAAAAGTTTTAAATAATAATAATATAGGAAAATGGTTGTTTCGAACAAAATGTCCGTTCGAAATTTTGAATACTATGTGATGAAAAAGAACAGAAATACATAATTTGAACGTTATTCCGGTATAATTTCATTGGTAGTATTGAAATAACATTCGCGTACTGATAAATGTCTATAAAATTTGTATGAACAAATTAGATATGGCAAAAAATTTTTAGCCCTGAGACCAAGGCATACTATACTTAAGGATTGAATTTCGATTAATAAAGGTAAGACAAACATGGCATGAAAACCTTATGCGAAAGAAAAATTCTAAAGCCAGATTCGAATTTTAGGTAGCAATCTTTTCGACTTTTTGAAATTTTTGTTGGCCTGTGTTATTAAAAAATCTATACAAATAAAACTTTTTCTACAGCATATTTTTTATGTTTCTCGAGAAATCTGACTAAATCAGAATATGTAGTGAGAAATCATAATGTATCCGCAAAATTCAATAACATCGCTCTGAAATATCAGTTAAAAATTAAAGCAAATCAAACGCAAACGGAAATATGTACTTAGTTTTCCTGATTGTTAAATATAAGTTCGTGATGACGTACATTGGTTTAAAATTAGATTTTTCTGGCCAAAATGTAATTTTTTCATACTGTTTTTTTTTTGAAACTTTTTATGACATCGATATAAAAAACACTTCAAATTATTAAAAAAAGGAATTTTGTTTTTAAAACCCATTACTTCCTGCTACTCAACAGTTGCTCAAACATTGAACTTTTTAGTATTGTTGAAAAATCTAGTGCATTTATTGTAACTTAAGTATTTAGTTAAATGATTCTGTAGCTTACATATAAAAAGTTTTGAACACAGTTTTTATGAATTGCAAAGCTGATGGCATGTATTTATTAAATGTAACATAACAAATTTCAAATAATAAACAGATATAGATAAAAAAAAAACGATCTTTTCTGATGCATAATGGAAAATTTTTTTTCGATAAATTTAAACTTTTAAAAAAATTTACAAATTTGTCCAGCGAAAAAACAAAATTCGAAAATAAATCGTAGTCTGTTAAATCAGAATGTTTATTTTTTCTGCAATAACTTGCAATAATTGAAAATATGTATAAATATATTTCTAGACAACCTTCGCTTCAAAAATATTGATTTCGTTAAATTTTGGCTTAAAAAAACATTAAGGAGAAGAATGAGACATTTATTTTGTACTTAGACCTATTTATATCCAAAGATTGGAACTAGTTCTGTATTAAATAATATAAAAAAAATATTCTTCAAATTGTAATTGTTGGGTTATGGGTTAACAAATACACCACTGAATTAAATTATATTAAAAGTATTTGGTAACCATTGTATTTAATTACTTTTAAACATGTATTGATGTATATAGTTTTTGGTCTTGAAATAAAACAGCGAAAGTATGGAACAAGATTGGTTTTATTTAAGTACTAACAGTAATAAAGGTCAAAATTTTAAAAAGTGTAATTTTTTAAAGATTTTGTTCTTAATAAAGGCAGTCAATGTCAATATTTACATTAATTTTTTAAATATTTTAAAGTTACAAAAATTAAGATTGTAAATATTATACGAATTTTTGATATATTCGTATATAACTATAAAAAGACGTAACTTTCTCATAAAAATTTTGCTATATATAATTTATTTTTATATTATGAACGCATATAACTTATGAACAAGTAATGATTATTTAGCAATTATTTTTTTGTAGATTCATAAATGGTTAATTTATTTAAAATTTGAATTAATATTTCATAAAAATCAGAAAAGGTTTAGACCCGCAACTACTACTGTGAAAAAAATAAATTAAGATTTTGAAACGCAAATGTTTCGAAAACCACAAGAGTTAAATATACTATAACGGTACTTTTTGAGTTTTCTATAAAATTAAACCTAGAAACATAAAAATAGCTTGTAGAGCCCGGAATAAATTAAAAAGTGCCTTTTTATAGGTCCTCATTTAATCCGGGCTCTACATGCTTA